TTTAATAGAAAAGTTATGCTACAATTTATTTTGATATTGAAATCATCAAAATAAAGATTAAACAATGAACCAAGTTAAAATCAAAGTTTGATGAAAGATCTTTTAGTAGAACATCGTTACCATTTAGAAAAATAGTTTTTTTACTTCATGTTTTGGTGGATTTAAAAATTGACTAATAGTTTTGATAATCAGTGCTTTATTATTTAAATTTTTTACAATTATTGTCTCAATTTCTCTTATATTTGCTTACAAAGAACTTTTTCTTTAACTCATCTCCTTGAATGACCAATTTCTTCTTGACATCCTAGAGAAACAGATTAATCTATTATTAGATTTAGCAACAAAAACCGATGTGATTTTAATGTGATTTAAAAAATTTAATCTAAATTATTTCGGCCTCCTTTATTAAAGTATTTTTTACTTAAAATTTTTTACAACTTTTTATTCAGACAACATTCTTGTAACAGTCGACATAAAAGTGTTTCCTCGAACTTTCTTTAATATTTTCTAAACTAATAAACAAGTACTAAATTGAATCTTGTTTTCCTGCCTTCTAAAAAATGGCGCTTGTAGTTTCTAATTTTATAAACAGTTTACTTACTATACTTATCTTGATGAATGGCAACTCTCCTTAACTTTACCGAATTATTATTAGTACTGACCTTTCATTAAAACCATTTTACCAACCTGTTGCAGCAAAGCAGCAACAGGTTGGTAAAAACTTACTTCTCTTTTTTACGGTAGCCATTTTTGATTAACTTCTAATCTCATTTTTACCTCTTAAGCTCTTTCCGTTCTTTTATGAAACTGTTTTCATATTTAAGCTTATATACATATTATTTGCTTGTTGTCATATTTATTCTTCTTATGATACTCTTTCTCCTTTAGGCAACATTGAAAATTTAGTTAGACTTTCACTAGCTTTCAAGCTTAAGCCTCGATTCCAAAGTTACGTCGTTTTTTCTTTTTTTAAAATGCTACTACGGTTGTTTTTAAAGCTACTTATTACATCTGGTTTGACCAACCAAAACACCTTTCTGCAAGATTCTTTATTTAGCAAAGTTGGATCCTTTTACTGAAAATGCTGAAAAACATTTTTTTTTGAGCAATTACAGTTAAAAGTTATATTTAAGTTTTAAACTTTTTTTGTTCGTTTTTTCTTCCTAAAACAAAACGTGACTCTTACGACGAACAGTTTTTCAAATCTTCTGTCAATCATTTTTGTACTATTTAAATCTCTTTTTTTCTACCTTGTAACTATCATCTATCATAATGGCTGCTATTTAATAGGAGTGGGGAGAGAGGGATTTTATTTTCAATATTATGCGGTGTGTTGATAGAGCGCTTGCTTTACAAGCGAGAAGTTCCGAGTTCGATGAACGCTATGTCTCTGGTAGTACCGCGCTCTACTTATTTCTTCGCACAGCGACCTTGTTCTTAAAGGTTCGTGTTTTGAAGTTATAGAGAGGGTTGTAATCACAAAAGTAGTCTGCTCGACTGTAGTGGCCCTCTTGGCCTTGGAGAGATGAACAATACTAGACACAGACAAAATATCCTTTTTTCTAAAATTTATTGGTTATATTACGTTTCTGCAATTCTTTGCATTCTACGTGGAAATCCTAACTAATGCAAAACAATTTTTTATTTATAAAAACGTTTCATTTTTGCTTATATTTTAATATATATAATAAACTTTATGTACAATTTCTTTTTTACATGGTTTGATACAAATACGTTGTCGCAAAACATACAAAAATTAAATTTTTTACATTTCATTTTAATCAACAAAAAACTGTAATACCCCTATTTTACTTACTAAAAAAACAACATAAGAAAAGGTTATCAAATAAACGTGGGTAAATAAATTTCTGTCCTGATTAAGTTATGTACCTCCTGGATAACCCATATAAATTCTATCATCAAAAAAATTCAAAAAAGCATTCTTATTAATCATGCTAAACCCTTACTTAAATTAATTCACTCATGATAAAACTTAACTTAAACAAATAAATGCACTAAATATCTTCTAAAGAAACATCTTCCAAAATATACTCTTCATGCTTATGTAAGGGTCAAGCTCCAAGTCACTTTATAAGAAACTTTTATTACTTTGAAAATAGAACTTTTGAACAACATGAACTTTTACTTTTACCATTTAAAACAACTAACTCTCCGGATTATTTCATACTGTGGTCTTTAATTATATAACTAAATTCTAAAAATAAATCACTAATAATTTTAGATAATCTATATTCTTTGAAATTATTTATCTTTGAATAATTAAAAAAAAAAAAAAAATAGGGAACAAATATACCCCAAAACGCTTGCATTTCCTTTACCATCCCCCCCCCCCCCTTACTTAAACGTTAAGACATTGAGTAAAACTTTTAATTTTATTTAAATGATTTATCAATTAAAAACTTTTAATTTTATTATATTTAAATGATTTATCAATAAAAAAGAAACACAAAAAACCAAATTAATTGATGAAAATTTAAAACAGTATAATTAGAAAATATTAAGTAAACTTGCTTCAGTTTTTTTTTAATCAAAGTTGCAATAAAAATAATTTGAAAAATGTCAACTTTTTGTTAAACATAAGATTGAAATAATAATTTTAGATAATCTATATTCTTTGAAATTATTTATCTTTGAATAATTCAAAAAAAAAAAAAAAAAAATAGGGAACAAATATACCCCAAAACGCTTGCATTTCCTTTACCATCCCCCCCCCCCCCCTACATAAGATATTTTTGAACATAAGATATTTTGAACATAAGATATTTTTAAATTAAATGTATAAAATGTATAAATGTATAAAAATTAATTTTTTCTTGATCTAAAATAATAGAGTAACCTCGCTCTTAGTTTTTTTACGATAATTAAAAACATTAAAAAAAAATTATTAATAACAACAGCAGTAGCTACAAAGTCAATGTTTATTATAATAGTAATTATAATAATAATAACAATTGTAATAATAATAAATAAGTAGCGAAATAATTTTAACTTTAGCCATATTAAATGACGCCAATAGTTTGTTGCAAAACATATCATTGGCGAACAATTGTCTAGTTATTTCAGCCACAAAGTCAATCCAAATTAAACAGAGACAATTATATTATTATTCGAAATATTTTGGTTTCTATACAAACTGCTTACCATTTAGTAACGTGGGAAAAAAACACAATTAAAATGCATTTTTTATGTTTATAGCAACAAAGCAAACAACTCATATCACAAATAAACCCTTTTATAGCAATAAACTTCATTATGACCCTATTATGACTGAAAAATTAATTTTAATTTTTATTTCAAGATAATTTAGAACATTTTTGGTCAAATTTTTAGGCCATATAACAAGGTCGATCGATGCTTTAGATCGATCGAACCTTGTTATATGGCCTAAAAAGATCGATGCTTTTTTTTAATTAACATTAACGATGACTTCGTGTTTAGTTAAATTTACAGCTACTTATACTTTTTAGATGTTGTATTTCGTTTTTTAACTATATATATATATATATATATATATATTTAATTAAATATATATATATATATATATATATATATATACATATATATATATATATATATATATATATATATATATATATATATATATATATATATATATATATATATATATATATATATATATATATATATATATATAATGAGATAATTTTAATAGTCAACACAAACTTTTCAATGTTGTTTAGAAAGCGTTTCTTGTTGGTTAGTGTATACATGAATTTATAGCAACAAATTAATAACACGCCTTTTATTAAATTTTTTTAGTTAAATTAAGTTATCCGCTTAATAATTTTGAAGATCAAAGATCAGTTCAAAGTACAATTGAAAAACAAAGCGTGATATTTGTGACGGTTTATTAAAAAGGCAATAAAACCATTCATTAAATAAACGGAAACAGTATTAATTCAAAAATTGCACGACACATAGCACATTATAATGCTCAATGAAAAGAACGTGTTTATATTATCCTAAAATAAATTAGTACAAGAGATCATTATCCATTTTTAAAGCCTAAGTAAATTTAGTACTAAAGTAATACAACATAGCTCATTTTGAGAATCTAAATCATTCAGAGAATATTATATTGGCATTAAAACCACTTAAAGATGTTATTTATGGTTCATCAAGATCCCAAGCACTTTTTACAAAAATTTCTTTTGGCCATAAAACATTTTTATATTATGGTAGATGGTGTCATAAAAATAGAATTTAACACGCTTCGCTTTATATACTGCTTATACCTTATAGAATCTAACCAAATTCCTGTGAAAAAAAAGCGTCCACATATACCTGGACGATTTAAATTATGCCATTATAATAGCCAGCTTTGTTTAAATTATGGCGAACGATGGCACATAAAACAATTAACATTAAAATATATGATTTTAGTCAACTTAAAAAACGCTTATAAAAATTTTAAAATTTTTTTCATTATTTTGTCAACATTTTGGTTTTAACTTTAACTAACAACTGAAGTTATGTGAAATAAATAAGTGAAGATTCCTATATGTTATTAAAAATCCTTTTTAAGAATTCATTTTGGTTATTTGTTTAACGTCATGCATTTGTATCGATATATTATACTGAAATAACTAAACAAATTTTTTGCGTGGGTTACCCGATTTAGAAAAAAATTATTAGTATAACTCGATAACAGGATATATATATATATATATATATATATATATATATATATATATATATATATATATATATATATATATATATATATATATAATATATAATTAACCTTCGTAGATTTTTTGTTTCAAATATTTCATTTCTAACGTTCTAAAAAATTTATGCTCTTATCATGTCAATTAATTAACGTTAATGATCATGTCAATTAACTAACATTAAAACTTTTTAAAACCAAAAACTAAATGATGTAATAAAACGATATACTATTGATGATAATGATGTAATAAAGCGGTCGATAGAAATAAGAAATAACTATTAGCGCGTTGAAATAATATAAATATATATAATAAATAAAAAAAAATTATACATAAAACATTAATAAAAACAATATTGTTTGGAACATAAGAAATAATCGCTCTTTATAGTTTATTTATTATGCTTTTGATTTTGCGCCGTTCTGTAATTAGGCTTGCTTAGACGTTATTAAAGTGATTTTAGAAGTTAAGTTTCTAATTGAATTGCTGACTTTTTTGGCGACTGATTTTTTCTGTTTAGGTTTTAATGAATTTCGTTCTGAAAGAGTTATAAAAACGCTTTCTCGAATCGGTTCGCTGCTCTCCTGGCTGCTCAATGAAGTTGAACTTGGTGATTTATTTAGGCCATGTGAAGGGATATGAAAAACTGAAAAGAATTTTTGAGATGAAGAGCCTCTTCTAAAAAACTTTTGTTTTGAAATTCTTGGTGAATCTATATCTGAGTTTGACACAATTTCACTCATTGAGCGCTTTCTTAAAACCTCGCAACTTTTTTCGTCCGTCACATATAACTCTTCATTGTCACTGCTGCTATTTACTGTCGAGAGATTATTTTTTGAGTTTTCATGAATTAATGAAACTAATGATTTTAATGATCCTTGATGTCGAATTTTGTTAAGAGGGTAGCTGTTCTGAATATTTCTGTTATTTTTTGGTAACGAATACAGGTGTAAAATTGTGTTTAAAATGTTCTCCGAAGATTCGCTTTCTTTAGCACAAGACTCGACAAACGCGCTAACAAATTCTTCCTCTTCCAGACGTTTGGAATAATCAAGACCTTCTTCGAATGAAACAGCGCGCGTTAAATCTCTTTTATTTCCCACAAGAACAACTCGAGTTTCTTCGTTGGAATTTTTCAAGTATTTTATTTCACGAAGCAATCTTTTTGCTTTTCTGAAAGAATTTCGGTTGTCCACAGAGTACACTACTACAAAAGCGTTTCCTTTAGATATTGCGAGTTTTCTCATTGCTGGAAAATCATCTACTCCAGCCGTATCAGTTAACAAGCAGACATGTGCATGACCTTCCAATTCAACAATATGCGTGATGTGATTTGAAACAGTTGGTGTATACTGTTCAATAAACGTGTTTTTAACAATTTGATTAATCAATGTTGACTTACCAACCCTGTCTTCCCCTAAAAATGTTATTCTGTAATCGAACACGTAGGCACTTTTATTTTCCAACTTAGACATTGTAATTTAGTTCAACAACCGACTAAGTTTATTTCAATACTTGTTCTTTATTGGTTCAGCACTTGACTTGTTCAGTACTTCTTCTTGTCGCTTGCTCTTTAGGAAAACTGTTTCTTCCGTAAGAAAAATTTCCTGCTCTTTTGAGACTAATTATTCTTAGATAAGAATGGTCATTTATAATAATGCTTGTTGCGTAATCTCCATTAACGTCTTAAAGCCTCCTTGAATAGATTTATTCGTACGCTTAACCGAGCATTGAAATAATAGATGACTAAATACGGGTGTTTTAACTTTCGTATTCAATGCAAATTTTTGTAAAAGCACATTTTAGAAAAGTACATTTTAGAAAATTATAGACAGTTCTACATGGACAAATTTTTTCAACATTTAATTAATTTTTTTTTTAGAAATTGCTTAAACGTATTGAAATTCCACAGAGGTTTATTATTATCTTAAGCACCGTCTTTTTAAAATTGATATCTTTTTAATAACGCTAAATACCCAGCAGGCACACAACGTTGTATTAACGTTGTATTTACGTTAAAATTACGTTTTACGTTACTTAACGTTAATCTAACGTTGTGTCAACGTAATCTTTTTAACGTAATATTCTTACGTTGAACTAACGTTGACACAACGTTAAAAAAACATAAAAATATTTACGTAACATTTTAACGTTGAGCTAACAAACAGACAACGTAAAAAAACAAAAAAATATTAACGTAGTTCTGTTAACTATAAAAAATCCTACCGTAATTTTTTACCTTTTTTTTTTTCTTAAAGATGGCGTATGAGAAAATAGGAAATAAGTGTAGTTTCAAAGGTCTAATTTTGAATCTAAATCAATTTTGAAACAAAATCTAATTTTGAAGGTTTGAATTGTCTTATAAAAGACATTCTAGGAATTTTTAAAAAGTATTTGTAAATAAAGAGCGTAAACTTTTCCATTTTCAAATTTACTTTTTTACTTTTTTTAATCAACTTTTTTAAATCTTTTTAATAAACTTTTTTTTACTTTTTATCTTTTTAAACAACCTTTTTTACCTTTTACCTTTTTAATCGACCTTTGCCTTTTACCTTTTTAATCAACCTTTTATTAGCAATATTGATAATAAAAGATTTAACAAAAGGTTGATTAAAAAGGTATAAGACTTGATTTGATTTTTTATTGTTGTAAAAATCTGTTCTCTAAACTATACAACAACAACAAAATTGCTCAACCTCAAAAAAAAGTTGAGAAAGGAAAATAAAAAAGGTCTATGCTTAACGCTTAAAACAAGGCCTGTTAACTTTATGATTTTAACTATGATAGAAATATTCATCTGTATAAGATTAATGAACTAGCTAGTAACAAGCCTAGTTTGTTGAGAGGGTAAGAATGTTTTTTTATTAATAAAAATTTAGGTTTTCAAATTTTTTATTATGTTCAGTTTTTATTATTTTCTTGTTATTGTCAAAACTACTAAAATTTGGGTTTATTTCAGAATAATAAAAATGAATAAACAAGAGAAAAATCAATACTTGAGGAATTGGAGGCAAAGTAATCAAGCCTTAAACAGTGTACTTGTTAATGAGGAAATGGAAAACTCTATCAAATCCAATATTAATGAAGTTGAGAGTACTGATTTCCAAAACCTTGAAGTTGAGAACTATAATGACTTTTATTTTGCGTCCGATAAAGATACTTCTGGAACTGAGAGTTTCGATCTAGACTTTGAGGTACATATGAGCGATGATAATCAAGATCAAAATGATGGAGTTCTTGTTACAGAGATTGCCAAATGGCTTTTAAAACACAGAATAACTAGAAATGCAGGCGACGAATTGTTAACTATTTTACACCGGTATGGTCATCATGTTGATTTACCGAAATGCACAAGAACAATTTTAAATACTCCTAGGAATGTTCCAAGTGAGATAAAATGTGGCGGTGAATATGTTTATCTTGGTATTTCGAACGGAATATCAAGAACTTTAGCAGTCAACCAGCATTATAGATTTGAATCAAATACTATTTCTCTAGTTGTCAATGTAGATGGTCTTCCCTTATTCAAGTCATCAAACACAACGGTTTGGCCTATATTATGTATGTATGATAATGTGACCCCTTTTATTGTAGCATTATTTGTTGGTGATACTAAGCCAAATAATCGTGATGATTTTTTAAATGATTTTTTGCATGAATATGAGTTATTACTGGCAAATGGTTTTCAGTATAATGGAAAATTACTGGATATAAAAATTTCAGCTTTTGTGTGTGATGCCCCTGCGAGACAGTTCCTAAAGGGTATTAAGTCTCATAGCAGTTACCACGGCTGTGAGCGCTGTGAAGTTGAAGGGACTTATGAACATTTTAGAATGCTCTTTTATGATGTTGATTGTATTTCTAGAGATGATGACTCATTCCAAAATGATATGTATATTGGTACTCATCAAATTGAAAGATCAATACTAGCTGACAAAGGAATTAAATGTGTTACAGAGTTTCCGTTAGATTACATGCATCTTGCCTGTCTAGGTGTTACTAAACGAATTTTGTTAGCATACAAGGAAGGTCCTCGAAAACAGAAATTGTGTCCAGCACAGCTGAGGCAAATATCCACAAAGCTTGAAGAATACAGTGGGAAAATGCCTTCTGATTTTGTAAGACAACCTCGTGGCTTAGGAGATTTAAGAAAATGGAAGGCAACAGAGTATCGTCAATTTCTGTTGTACACTGGTTGTTTAGTGTTGAAAGATATACTTCCCTCTGAAAGCTATAAGCACTTTCTTTCTTTTTCTCTTGCAATGCGAATATTTCTTGATGATAGTTTTGAAATCCGCAACAAATTTTCTGATTATGCAAAAGATCTTTTACAGTATTTTGTTTCCAATTGCATTGATATATTTGGTCCAACATTCACCGTTTATAATGTACACTGTCTAACACATCTTTGGGAAGATAGCAAAAAATTCTCTACTTCTTTGGATAATATTTCTTGCTTTCCATTCGAAAACTACTTACAAGTTGTGAAAAAATTTGTAAGAAAGGCTCAAAATCCTTTATCACAGATTTTTAAGCGTACACGAGAGTTAGAAAGTTTAGCAATGAGTGGGTTGAACCAAAAGCATATTTTAACAAAAATTTCAAACAGTGATAAGGATTCTTGGTATCTACTGCAGTCTGGTAATTTTGCAAAAATAAAGGAAGTCAATGTTGATGATACTTATGAGTGCGACATAATCAGTAAACAACATTTTCAAAGCCTTTTTTTTGAACCATGTGACTCCAAGCTTTTTCAAATTGTTTATATTAAAAGCTTTGACAATATTTCAAGAAGAGAAAATGTTGAAAAGTGTTCTTTTTTAAGAAAAGCACTTTGTCTTCCACACAAAGAAGGTTTTGTCATTATGCCTTTATTACATAATATTGTTTTAACATAAAGTTATTTTTATGTTTTTTGATTATGTTTTGGTAACATTTTTAAATTAATTGATTAAGGTATGTAACTTAGAAATTAGTAAGGCAAGTCTTTAAAATTACTTTTAAATATATTTTAGTAGTTTTTATTTTTTTTATTGTTTGTTAAATTAAATAAATTTTTCTTTTATTTATATTTCTAAATATTATGTATATCATTTATACATATACATGTATTCTTTATGAGTATATAAATTAATTACTTTATATCTATATGCATAAGTAATATTACTACTTATGCATATACTTGTTATTGTATCATTTTTATATTTGTATATTTAAGTATAACTTTTTTTTTGCTTTTCATATATATTTTAGAAGATGAATATTTCATGAAAAGAATAACATTTGTATTTTTAATAATAGTCATAATCGCGACCAGAGTGCTTATTTATTCTATCTCCGTTTTAAAATGTTGAGAGAAAATATTAAGTGATCTTATAAAGGTAACAACTATCTATGCAATAAATTGTAATAATAACTATTAAAAATATTAATTGCTACTAAATTTACTAATCATTTATGATAAAAAAATTATATATATATATAAATAAGTTCAAACGTTTTACTTTTATTTTTAAATATTAACGTGGAAAAGTTCTTTTAACATTTTAAAATGGAGTTGAAATAAATAAGCACTCAGGTCACGTAATACTCTTTCATAAACAAATTATTTTTAAACTTGATTTGTAATGTCAAAATCTTTTTGTTGTACTTGTAATTTAACAGAACATGTGATGATGATGCCATGAAGGCAAGCAGCTATAATAGTACTTTTATATTATTTGTTTCAGCAAAAAATGACTCAAAAACGCAATTTAAAAAAGGCTATAGACAAATATGTCATGTGTGTATTTTTGGAAAATGTAAATGGTGCTTTTGCAGAACAAAAAACTGTTGTGCCTAAGAGATGGATTGACGAAGAACTAATGTTGTTATGGTGGCCAAATGGTATAAATGTTACCAACAAAAAGTCAGTTAACCCAAATAAAGATACCTGGAAAAAGTATGATTTAAAAGAAGTTGTTATTGAAGGTCAGTAATAAAATAATATTTGTCAAATTTTATCAATTTTATCAAGTCAGAACATTGTATTAAATGAGTAATTTCACAAATATGTTGTTTTCAATTTTTGTGATTTTTAATAGGTGAAGAGAGTGTATGCCATGAGTTTCTTTTGCATACAAGTTCTTCAGAAAGCGATGTAAAAAAAAAGAAATTTAAAGAATTTGACTCTTCTAAAGGTATATTTTAGTTGTGGCGACTTTGTTTATCATGTTTATCAAAAAATTTATCATTATCTGTTTTCTGTTATTTTCTTATATATAATATTTACCATAATTTAAATTACAATTTTATATACATATGCTTGATCATAATTTAATTCCCAAATAACTCTGCTTATTATTTTCATTATTTTCATTATTCTGTGTTTAGGTAAAAGTGTTCCAAACAAACCAACTATTTCAATAATGGATGTGATAGAGAAAGCTACTGAAGAAAGTTCAAGTATTTCACATCAAACTCCACAATCTCCTTCACCAATAATGTTTTCTCCTGTTCATCATCATCATTCAGAATCTCCAGATTCTTATGAACCTCCGTCTTATTCATCTGGTGCATCTCGTTATCCATTGAAACGTACGTCTAGTCATTTGGCCAGATCACAGTGCGGCCCTTTTCAGGGTTTATCTGGAGATTTTCACTATAGCTCCCCTGGAAGTGTATTTCATACTTCAGCAGGGGATCCAGAGGGTACAACTTGCCATTCATCTAGAACTTCATATAAATCTGAATCCCCTGTTCATTTAGATGTTCCTTTTCATACTAGTTCATTTCCACAAAACACCACTGATTTTTTAATTAATGCTTCATCTTCAGATAATCCTCTTCATTCTTCCAAAACAAAATTTGTACGAAAAGATTCAGCCAAGCTTCTGAATCAGAAATTCCCAATGGATACTGGAGGTATGATGTTATTAAATTACTGTTTTTTGGTATAATATGATAATGATAATGATAACAAAGCTTTATTCAATCATTTGATAACAAAATCTCATCTTAAAAAAAACAATTAATCATTTTTCTTAGGTTCAGCGGAAAAACTGTTTTTTATTGATATGAATTAGTAAAGATGCTCTATTTAACTTGTATTATTAAAATAGTGATTTTTTTTAGAGTTCCAAAAACTAGTACTTCAATTACTTCTTGAGAAAAATTGTTGCAAGTGTGCCAATAAAACGTCAGAAAGCGTAAACATTACCTTTTTTAAAAAGATTGAGTCCCTTGAAGAATTGTTTGAACTTGAAACCAGATTAAAAGACAACGGGGAGTATAGTAAATTGGTAATTTATATTTTTATAGTTTGTTTGTTTAATAGAATGCTATTTCAGTTCATCGTTTTCTTGATGAACCTATTTAAACTGCTCTTACATTTTACCATATGGCGTAAAAGGTAAATTATAAATATCTATAAATAATATAAATAACCTTAAAATCAAGAATTATTATAGGCTGATAGCCATTCACATTCTGTAGAGTTTTTTACAGTCTTGTTGATAACAAATTAAAAAAATCTATAAAAACAACAAAATATTGTTTTGTTGTTTTTATAGAATAACTGTGAAACAAATGAATCTAATCCTGTCTCAAACATGCACTTTTCACTAGACTTCTTTTTATGTTTAGCTTTGTCACCTCAAGAAAGCAGGTGGAAAAACTGTTAAAGAAAATACAAAAAATGTTATGGTCAGGTATGTGTTTTTGTTTAACTCTGCATAATCAAACTGTTTAAATTGTGAGTACATTTTATAGAAAATTTAGCAGAAGAAAGGATAATAATAATATAGCAATATAGAAGAACAAACAATTTTAATGTTAATGTTTGGGGAAAACCTTAATTAATGGGACATTGAACATTGATATTGAATGGGACGCTAATTGAATGGGACAAATCAAATTTGCATACAGTTATCTATGGTTGGATGTCCAAAGAAATGTTAAACATAATGAGTCAACAGACCTAATAAGTATTCCTATCATGGTTTAAACATGATGGGCCAAACACAACATTAGAAATGTTGCGTTAATGGGAATTAATAACACATTAATTTTTCCTGATGAAACCAATTTTTTTGTTTTGGAGCGAGAAGTGCATCATAGAAAAAGAGTTAATGGTTATAATTATTCTTTTGCTATGATTTATTGCTATGAATTATTATTGGTTATAGTTAATTTTCATAAATTATATATTTAAACAACTTTAATTTGTATAAATTAAACGACTTTATCAAAATTTTAAAAGTATTCTACAAAAATTGTCCCATTCATTTAGGTTCTCCCCTTCAGATTTCAGCTTTAATTGGATGTCTAGATAAAAATTTATAAAAAAGAATGAACCTTTCGAAATTATACTTTGTGAATTATTACTGTAATGTGTGTTTAAAATTATTTAAATAAGTTTGCTGGAATTGTAGTATAACCCCTTGTTATTTTCGATTTATTATTTGTTATTACGTTTTTATAGAATTATGGAGCATCATGTTATGGCCAAGTTGAATATGAAAGGAAAAATTCGTGGTGATTTCAAGAAGGTAGCATTCGAAGATAAAAAGTTGTGTAAAGCAATAATTGGTACGTTAGGTCAATATTTTTTATCTATCTTTCCTCCTTACATATGTTTTGTATTCTTAGATATATTTTAGTCTTGAACCTGAATGGTTAGCGATAAAAAAAATCAAACAAATAGTCAGTTATAAGAAAAATATATGTTTAATTGACATTCCATTTACAGTATCCTATGTTTTATTTTAGAAGCCATCCAGCTAACGCACGAGTCTTCGACAGAAGCACAAATAAAAGAACAAATAGGAAGCATATTAAAGTTTTCTCCATTTGTTAATAAAAGCAAAAAAAATAATATTGAGGAAGCAAGCGATTGTTGAACAATTATTTATTTGTGGCTTTTTTTGGTAATTTATAATATATGCTATATACAAAAGAATATACAATATATCTTTAAAAAAAGTCTTTTTTTTTGAAAATATTTTTGCTAGCCCTTTGTAAGGGGTTAAACACCCTTATATTAACGTAAGATATTGATTGTAATTGTGTTTAACATTTTAAGTTAATATAATTATACGTTAGTATTCATATAATAACCATGACACGAAGTCGCGTATAAACGGCTTCGGCTAGGGGTTATATAAATATAACTGTATAGTTGCATTAAGATTAAATATTAAACCCAATTACAATCAACATTTTACGTTAATATAAAACGCAAATGTTTTTCCAACTTAAATTTACGTTAGTATAACGTTAATCTAACTTTAGAATTTTACGTTAGTATAACGTTAATACCTAACGTAAATCCAACGTAAGAATTTTACGTTACAAAACCTTTCCATTTTGCCGAACCGGCAACGTTGTACTAACATAAAATCTAACGTAAATACAACGTAAATACAACGTTGTGTGCCGGCTGGGTAAATGTTTAATTTAAAAAAATATACCGTATAATTTTAGATCTGAATTTGTCGGTGATCGTTTTAAAAAACGCTCACCGCAATTGTTACATTTTTCTATGAAGTTTCAATTTTGTTTCGTGGATAATTCTTTGGCTTAACTTTAATAATAAGGAAAAAGTGCGAATATTTTGGTATATTATTTAAAAGACAAGTCTCAGGAAATTAGTCTATACAAATTCAGCCTTATTCTGTAAATAATCAAAATTAGGAAAATCATCTTCTTTTATAAGGTAAAAAATAATAAACAAATAGAAAAATAATTTAAAAAATAAAAAAAAGAAGTATATTATATCAATAAATGAATATAAAAATACGATAAGTATAAAAATAAACAAATGTATAATATTTGAATGAACAGTCAATATGCAATAAATATATCGATATTAGTAACGTCGATGAGAAAAGTTAAATTTAATGTTATATAGTTTTCATAAATAAACATTCCGTTATTGAATCGTTAGACATTTTAAAATTAAAGACATTTTCTGTTCCTATATTTTTTAAGTTAAATTGTTTGAACAATATTGGGTATTGTACACAATTTGTTAAAGATATTTTAATCAGGCTATTGTGAAAATTGAAAGTTTTAGCAAAAGTACTCAATCTTTTTTTGTTTAGAAAAAATCCATAGTAACGTTTATACAATAACACGATTACAGCGTTGATTTCACGTAAAATCACTTATAATTAGCTTTTATTACTACAAATTCATTGCATAACTTAATTGTTAATTAAAAATGATTGTGAATGATGTTAAAAAAGTTCACTGCATCAAGATTTACTAGTAACCAACTTTACTTAGGGGTGGTAAGTTTAAAATATATGTGCGTGCGCACACATACACATCATGCCACAATACTTGTAATACTTTAGGTTGATTTTGTGCAAAGTTTTCTACCATTTAATTCACCCTGCAATGGAATTATCAAATCATTTAGATTATCGTTATAGTCATTAAATATCCAGTTTAACAAAAAATACTTGTAATACTATCTAATTTGTTATTTTAACATAACAAAGTTTTGCTAAAATAACTTCTTTTAAATTTTTAATATTGGTTATTTTTTCGATATTTTTAAAGTTGTTAAATTTATTTTTCTAAGTTTACAAAGGCAACAAAAAAAAATGTACATTTTATTTTGTTGCCTTTGTAAATTAGATCGATTCAACAAAACAATTATTTTTACACATCCATCAAGTAAAAATGATCAACGAATAGTAAAGATGCCTTGCAGTTGTTTCAATAATTGAATGTCATAATTAGTTTCTATATCTTTGACAGAACAATAAAAAATCGGAGAAGTTCAATTAAGTGCTTGCAAAAAATTTTCACTAATTACTTTATGAAAAATCGTTTAATGCTTTATCTTCGTTATTACATTATATTAAATCATTCTTTTATCATTAACGTTGGTCTTGTTAAACGTGTTTTTTGAAGTTGCAAAAAAAAACAAGGCTCCTATGACCACTAAACTTAAAATGTGTGCAGTACTTTTTGATTGGTTTATCCAGTTTTTTAAAGTTTCATTTACAAACTTAAGTGGTAACAGGAAAAAAAATTTTAAAGCACATAAAATAAACAATATATCAATGTAATAGTAGTTTATAATATAAATATTTTATACCCACAAGCAAAAGAAGCAAAACCTTTATCTTTAATTTTATAAGCAAAACCTTAATCCTTAATTTTTCATAAATCAACTGACAAATGGTTAAAACATATCTACTTTTCTGATAACAAACCGTTTATTTTTACTTTAGCATTTATACTGTTATAGATTGTTTCTATAAAAGATACAAATATTTTTCCAAATCCAAAATGTTTCAAACTATCAAAAAAAAAAGCTCTATAAACCCGATCAAAAGCTTTCTCCTGATCTATGGAAAGAATGCAAGCGTCTAACTTGCTTTTTTTTTAGTGATGCTTATAATGTCTCTCGTATAACTTAGATTATAATATATTGTTCTGTTTTTAATGCAAGCAGTTTGGTTGCTATGTATTATATTTGGTAGAATATCTTTGAGCCTGTTGGCCAAAACTTTTGTTAAAATTTTATAATCTACATTTGTTAAAGATATGGGTCTCCAGTTTCCGATATGGTATCGTATCGTATAGATATTTTAATAGGAGTAAGACAAGGCTGTCCTTTGTCAATGATATTGTACATCATACAGGCAAAAATATTTTCATCCTATGTTAGACAAAACAAAAATATTAAAGGTATACATGTGAAAGAGAGCGAAACAAAAATACAGCAATACGCTGATGACACGAACTTCTTTCTAATCGGAGATGATTCCATTAGAGAGGTAGGAAAAGCTTTAAAACTCAACCAAAAAGCCACTGGCGCTAAAATAAACATTGCCAAGTGTCAAAGCATATGGTTAGGCAAAAATATTTTTAAAGACAAAAGCGAGTATTTGAATTTCAATTGGGACGATAACACTTTTAAAAGTTTAGGAGTGTTTTTCTCGAATAACGCAAACTTCCAGTACGAAACACACTGGAAGGAGCGTTTCAACAAAATAGAAAACTCAATGCAAAAATGGGAAAAATACAAATTGTCCCTCAAAGGCAGAAAAACAATCATAAACTCTTTAATTACCCCTCAAGCGCTGCATTTAGCTTTTATAGCACCCTTACCTTGCAATAGAATTTTAAATAAAATAGAAGCAAAAATTAATAACTTTTATTGGAGGGAAGGGGGGTGTGTGTGTGAAAAATTTGTAGACTAAACAAAACAAAAACACAACAAAAGATAAATGAGGGGGGCGCAGGAGTTAAAGGCTTAACCAACAAACTTAAGGCCATACAACTGCAGTGGATCAACAAAATATACAACTAAAGTATATGCGGTCCGTAGAAAGATGCTATGGTTTACATAGAAACGCAAACCAAAGCAAACACACATTTGAAACAATCCCTACTCAAATGAAACTCTTACCCCCTTTTTACTCTCAGCTCTTAGTTAATTGGCATAATTTAAAACAAAAACATGTTTTACCTATAACAAAAATTGAAGAAATTTTGAACCAACCTCTTTTTTTTAACTCTTTTTTTACATCATAAAAGCATTGGCTTGACCGAAAAAGAATTAGAATGTCTTACAAAAGCTTTGCCAAGAAAATGGTATAAAAAAATTCTAACGGAATGTCAAAATTATGATTTTTATAAGTCTTCGTTTTATTTATAAAAGAAAAACAAAATATGAATATAAAAGTCTAACTGTTTTAACTCTTTACAAATTATTAAACAAAGCAACAAAAAGTTTGAACTATAAATATTATAAATGGAAAGATTGTTTTGAAAGCATGAAAAGTATAAATGAAAAAGATTGGAAACGTTTCTTTATAAATCTTCATAAAAGAAATATTAACAATAAAGCGCGCGAAATTCTTTTTAAACGAGTTATTTATGCAAACTTTTTAAACAAAAACCGTATTTTTTATTAAAAACTTTAGCTTTTTTATGAAGTTATTATTAATTTTTTATGTAAGAAACTTCAAAACTAAAAAACGGTTTGTACAAAACAAAGGCATTAAACTCTCTGGAATTTACTCTTCTTTTATTAAATAAGAGTAAATTCCAGAGAATGTTAATATTATTAGCCTAAAATAATTTAATACCCTTGAGTATAGTAGTCGGTTGTAAAAACTGGTCCCTAATAATTATTAATTAAAATATTGATCAATGTATCGATCATTATTTTTGAATGTCCGACTCTTTAGTTTAGCTACACTGCGTCATAATTATGGTCTGAAGTTGGTAGGTATGATTATGATTCTTTAGCAAATGTATAAAGCAGTAAATATTTTTATGATTTTTATATAAGCTGTTATATTTTAAAAGGTTTTCTGGGTTTAATGCTTTTGTTTTGTACAAACCGTTTTTTAGTTTTGAAGTTTCTTATATAAAAAATTAATAATAACTTCATAAAAAAGCTTAAATTTTTAATAAAAAATACGGTTTTTTGTCTAGGAAATTTGTTGAAACGTAACAAATTTCCCATAAAGCATTTACTCTTAAGAATAAAGTAATTTATTTTCTAAACGGTCTTAAGTTCAACAAAATAATTTTGACTACTACTGAAAAGGTTTAATTTTGTTTAATTATTTTTTATTAGTATCATTAACCTTGTCCAGTGACTTATTGCAAAATGTTACAGCATTATTATATTTAATTTTTTTTTTTATAATTTTAAATTTTAAGTCGCATTATTACATTTTAGCGGGTTAATAATTAAATGATTTAAAAAAGCAAGTTTTTAAAATCTCTGCAACCAAGAACTTTTTGTTCTACTCAATTAAATTTTCCTATTATGAGATTAAAAATATGGTAATCCTTTGTTAGATGACCTTGATTAAATTAAAAATTTCATAAAGCATTTTTCAAAAAGCTCTACGTTTCAATTATATTCTACATAAAATATCTACAATAAAAATTATTATTAATTATATTAAGATTATTATTAATTATAATAACTTTCATGT